TCACCTGGGGGGGTCCCAGTGTCACCTTTGGGGTCCCCAATGTCACCCGGGGGGGTCCCTGTGTCACTTCAGCATCACCTGGGGGGTCCCTGTGTCTCTCCTGGGGTCCCCGTTGTCACCTGGAGGAGAATAAAACGAAGATTTTGGGGTGAAAACCTCGGAAATCAGTGAGGGCTCCCTCAGAAATCAGGGGTGAAATCGGGGACCGGAAGTGAGGCCGAGCGGAATGGGTCCAACGCCGGACGGGAAGATGGCGGCCCCTTGACCGGAAGTTCTGCAAGGCCGTACAGGAAAATGGCAACCCCTTGACCGGAAGTCCTACGAGGCCGTCCAGCAAGATGGCGGCCCCCCGGACCGGAAGTTTAAGGCCGTACAGCAAGATGGCGGCCCTCGGACCGGAAGTCCTGAAAGGCCGTACAGCAAGATGGCGACCCCTTGACCGGAAGTCCTGCAAGGTCGCACAGCAAGATGGCGGCCCTGGGACCGGAAGTCCTGCAAGACCGTACAGCAAGATGGCGGCCCCCGGACCGGAAGTTCGCCGAACCCATACTAAAGATGGCGCTACCAGGACCGGAAATGAGCTCAGACCACACTAAAGATGGCGGCGCGGGCCTTCCCCACCCCCGTCCCCCCAGTGTCACCTGGGGCGGTCCCTGTGTCACTTTAAGATCCCCACTGTCACCTGGGGGTCCCCATGTCCCCTCCCGGTGTGTCCCCGTTGTCACCTGGTGTCACCTGAGGGTCCCCCGTCCCCTCCTCGGGGTCCCCACTGTCACTTTGGGGTCCCTTTTGTCACCCCGGGGGGTTCCCACTGTCACTTTGGGGTCCCCATTGTCATTTGGGGGTCCCCACTGTCACTTTAGGGGTCCCACCCCCCTTTCTGTCCCCCCCCACCCTTGGGGTCCCCTCCAGGTCCCCCCGATGTCCCCGGGGGGGTCCCCGATGTCCCCTTTGGGGTCCCCAAACCCCCCATGAGGCTCCGACGGTGCCGGCGCTGCCACTTTATTGAGCTGGGGACGCTCCGGGGACAATTTTGGGGGGGGGGGTGGCACCTCGGGGACACTTTGGGGACAGGGTGACACTGGGAGGTGGCACTTTGGGGACATGATGAGCTCAGGGGGGTGGTGGCATTTTGGGGACACTCTGGGGACAGGTTGACACTTCGGGGACACTCTGGGGACACTCCAGGGGGTGGTGACATTCTGGGGACACTTTGGGGGGTGGTGGCACTTCAGGGACACTTTGGGGGCAGGGTGGCACTGGGAGGTGGCACTTTGGGGATATGAGGAGCTCAGGGGGGGGGCGGCACCTGGGGGAGGGGATGGGGGGGCGGCGGAGGATGGGGGAAATCGTGGGGACAGGGGGGGGTGGCACTTTGGGGACAGGGTGAGGACACAGCAGTGGTGGCACCTGGGGACATGATGGCACAGGAGGGGTGGCACCTGGGGACAGGGGGGTGGCCCTGGGGGTTGGTGGCACTTTGGGGACACTTGGGGACACCTGGGGACAGTTTGGTGTCACAGGGGGTTGGTGGCACTTGGGGACAGTTTGGTGTCACTTGGGGACACTTTGGTGTCCCTGGGGGGTGGTGGCACTTGGGGACATGATGGCATCGGGGGGGTGGCATCTGGGGACACTTTGGTGGCACCTGGGGACAGTTTGGTGTCACAGGGGGTTGGTGGCACTTTG